CCTTCAGGACTATTTTATTAATAATAATAATGATGATGATAAAGTTGGAAGGGACCTCGGAGGTCATCTAGTCCAACCTCCTGCTCAACATCTTTTTTACATCGTGGTGACCAAAACTGGATGCAGTATTCCAAGTGTGGCCTTACCAAGGCATTGTAAAGTGGTATTAATACTTCACGTGATCTTGATTCTATCCCTCTGTTAATGTTATTGTTAATGTTATTATTATTGTTAATGTTATTGTTAATGTTATTGTTATAGGGTGTAATAATAGAATGCTGAAATTCTATTATTACCAATTTTCTCCCTGTCCCATCTTACAGTAAACACAATCAAGACAGAGTTAAATTGAGGTTTTTTTTTCATGCTTCCTTCACGTTCTGTACTGAATAATCCTGTGTTTCTCAACCTTGGCAGCTTTTAAGATGGGTGGACTTCGACTCCCAGACTTCCATGGCCAATCTCTTGTCCAAGTCCCTCTTTAAAAAGAGTTTGGTCACCCTTTCTTCAAGGTCAGCTTAGATTCCTTTACTCCCAGCCCTTTCCAGCTATGCTATCCAACCAGTGAGAATTTTCTCTGCTGATTAATTTGGAGACTCGCCAGTAGTTGGGAATTGTTAGCAAGGCTACTGAGTGTACACCAATGAATAAGCACTAGAGGTCCACAGAATTACTGCTTCCTAGTGATCATTGGGACATTTGCAGTCTAATGATACCGTAATACAGGGGTCTTCAAACTTGGCCCTTTTATGACTTGTGGACTTCAACTCCCAGAATTCCTCAGCCAGGCATGTGTGCCTGGCTGAGGAATTCTGGGAGTTGAAATCCACAAGTCATAAAAGGACCAAGTTTGAAGACCCCTGCCATAATAGCTCTGAGAAACTCTTAACTTTAGCAGAGCTTCTGGTTGTAGTTCCATCCATGCCAATGCAAGGAAACCCTAGTTTGTTTTTTAAAAAATCAAACAAAAAACCCCATAGGCTCACATTCTCTTTCCCATATTTGAAATTCAGAAATTAGGGTTAATTTAATGGGTGAGTTGAAGTTTGAAGTGTGTGTTCCTGATAACTCCTGCCTTCTCTTATTTTCCCATGTATTCCTTGCCAGGAGTTTGCAAATCACATTGCTTTGTGTAGCAGTTCTACAATCTGCTGAATGGTGGGTTAGTTAGTGCATCATTAAATAAAACCTCTTGTAAGGCCTGCCTGGTGCTTAATCCCTTGTCTCTCAGAGATCAACCACAAGCTCTCTTTGCTCGCGTTCATCCTTCTTAGGAGGAGAATCCAACTTGTTTATGAGCTCCTTGGGATCCAAATGTGCAGAGCTGTTTATTGGAGTGTTTTTCATTTGCTTGTTCCCACTTTGGATCCAAGCTGGGACCGTGAAAGGACTTTGTATTCGCCTTCTCTCATCGCCTCTCAGCACAAGCCAAAGGACTGTTCTGTTTTTCTCAATGTCTCAGGCTCTGCCAGGACATTGGAAGCAAAGCAAGCTGGCAAGAGACAGGCCCCGTCTCTGTTCTGTATCATGGAAGCCGCGGCAAAATCCCTGAGGCCCCAGGCCAGCCCCTATTTTCAACCCAAAACTGACCAATCGTGTTCCAGGTGATGTCATTGCATGGCAAGAGCGCTTCCGTCTTTTTTTTTTTTGCACACAGCATAATGCCCAGGCCATCTATTGGTGGTTTGCCTTCAGCCTTGGTCCATGAACTGTAATCATTAAGTCAACTGGAAAAAATATTGAAGAAAGACAGGGGGGAAAACGGCATGCGAAGGCAGCTGGATGCAGCACAAGGAGGCCCACTGAGAGGCATCAAAGAGCATTGTGCAGCCTCTAATCCTGGCTTCAGGATGTGGAGGTCCTGACAGGGATTGGAGAAGATGGGTAATAAGCTGCCCTTTCTTTCCAGAGGTGGCCCTGAGAGTCACAGCTGCATCAAGCTCTGCCTTGGGGATACACAGAAACAGGCAGGGCAGTCTCTCTTTCTCCCTCTCTTGATCTGCCTTTGCTTCTAGCTCAAAGTCCGGGCCTTGCCAGCATCTTGAACGCCACTGCACAAAAAGCCGGGTTGGATTCCTTGGTGAGCAAAAAGGCTGCCTGTCCTTTTGTCTGCTCATGACCTGCCCCAGTAGCCAAGGAGGGTGAATGTAAGGTGGGGTGGTGGATGGCTGGGTTTCGGTCACAACCAAAATCTCAAAAGTGGCTTGAACAGTCTCCAATCCAGAACTTCAGGAGGAATCTATTTATTTGATACTTTTAATCCTGTCTTTATTTTGCCTGCCCTTATTGTATTATACAATTCAAGGCAGCAAACCTACCTAATACTACTACTCCTATTTTTCCCACAACAACAACCCTATGAAGTGGGCTAGATTGAGAATGATTGGCCCAGTCATCCAGCCAGCTTTTTGCCTAACATGGGACTAGATCTCACCATCTCCTGGTGATTGGCCCAAAGTCACCCAGCCAGTTTTCATGTCTAAGGCAGTACTAGAACTCGTATCCTATGGTGATTGGCCTAAAGTCACCTAGCTGGCTTTCATGGCTAAGGTGGGAATAGAACCCACATCCTCCTAGTCTGGTGCCTTCACCATTAGAACAAACTGACTCTAGATACTGCAAGACCAAGATGTTAGGGTCAAGTAACTAGCTAATGGCCAAAATGCAGGTACTTTTTAAAGTTTATTAAGGAAATGAGCAAAGAAAGAAACGGAAAGAAAAATTCTTCTGGAGACTTCCACCCACCTTCACTTTCTTACTCTTAATCAGAATATCCATAGGAAAATTTACTAATTCATTTTAAGATCTGTCCAATAGCTTTTCTTACTGTAATTAGTGAGGCATTGGCTGCAAACATTTGCTATAACTAAATCTTAAATAGTGAAGTTCCACCCTCCTATCCACTGTGCAATAGCCCCACATTTCAATTTTGTTGAATGGGTAATTTAAATTCAACGTAACAGGTAATTTACTACAGATGCAAAAACCACAGAAGATGCAATCTGGTGCATCTCATACAAGTCCAGGCAGAAACCTTGACCTATAAAAGGAGCTACAGAGCTTTTTAGAAAGCATTTCAAAGAAAAGAATGAAATGAAGGAACTAATAGCAGGAAGTGCCTTTATTTTCCCTTTGTGCATTTATTTTCATACTTGGCCGATGAATTTACCGGAGCGCTGAGTAACGATGACGTAAAACAAGAAATATGACAAAAGAACAGAATGAGAGGGTAAGCTTGTTTTGGCTTATAAATGGTCTTTCACATTGAGAGTGTTTTTCCAGGGTTCATTTAAAATCCTTTCAGAAAATGGCCAGTCACAACTTGAGGTGCCCCATTCCAACCAGCACATTAATCACCTGTTAAGAACTAAGCTGAGCCCCTTCCTCCCATCTAACTACCCACCCACCCACCCTGTATTTATGAAGACTATTCAGCATCCTTTTCGGATTTATTCCTCTCAAGTCTTGGATTCCACGTAGGCTGCTCAAGCCTACTGTTTGCAAATACACCCATTAGTCCTTGGAATGGGGGTGGGGGAGAATGCTGGGAGTGAACGATGAATATCCTGGAAAGCTTGACTGCACCATTCTGATATTTTGTAAATGGCAGCACCCACTGTAAACCTTTTGTGACTGAGCTAGCAACCCCTACTCTGAATGCCCATATCAGGCCTACAAAATGTCAAAAGGGTGATAAACCTCTTCTTATGACTTCCCACCATCTATAAATACAGTAATCTGTAAGTACAGTGAAAAAAATGAGACTAAAATTCAATGTAAAAAATACCAAACCTCAAGTAGAACAACCAACCTTAGAATAGACAATGAAGATATTAAAAATAAGATTACCTCTGCCCTTGTCAACCCTCAACAATAAAGGAACAGTCAAGAAATAGCTGCAGACTAGCATTGGGTAGAGCAGCCACGAAGGCCTTGGGAAAGGATAATTCAAATGCCCTGATACACTTATACCAGCAAAGATGAGAACAGTGCAAGCCATGTATTCCCTGGGGCATTTTCAGCAGTTGGGACTTTGAAGAAGCAGGACAGTAAGAGTATTGATGCCTTTGAACTTTTGTGTTAGAGAAGACCAAGAATAACATTGATAGCCAACAAAATAATGTATCATCGAAGATATCAACCCAGAGTTCTCACTCTGGGTATCTTACTCTGCACACATTATGCAAAGATCCAGCTCTCTGTTGAAGACTCTTAATACTGGAAAAAGTGAGAGGAAAGAGGATGCCGGGGATCAAGTGGATGGATTCAATCACGGTGGCAACGAGCGCCCTGTTGGGAGACCTGAAAGAATAGGCCAAGGGATAGATTGTCATGGAGAAAATTTATCTATGGGTAGTCCTTGACTTATGACCATTTATTGAACAATGGTTCAAACTTATGATAACCTTGGAAAAAGTAACTTGCAACCTGTATTCACACTTGCATGTGATCACAATTCAGTCACCTGGCAACCTGCTTGCATTTACAACTGGTTGCAACAACCTGCAGTCGTGCGATTACAGTTTGTAATTTTTTTTTGTTGATTTCTGTCAAAAAATATGCAATGTGGAAGCTGGATTTGCTCCATGACCCTGTGATTTGCTTAATGACTGCTGTAGAAATGGTTCCTACTCAACTTACGACTGCAATGACTTATGATGGATATTCCAGTCCCGATTGTGATCATAAATTGAGGACTACCTGTATATGGTGGCTAGGAACCAAATTACCTGATGGCACATAATCAATCAATCAATCAATCTGTACAATCTCATGTATATGCTCAGAGGAAGAAACATACAAAGCATGCATTCAGACATGTCAACAATACTATAATTTCCTGTTCAGGCTGGTTAGCAAATTGTTCCTCCATCTGCAATGTGGATCATTTTTCGGATTATTGTGAAGATTGTAACATGGCATATACAAGGGACTTCATTCAAAAGTGGGAAGTGTGACAATTATACATTAATGGAAAGTCGAGAAATATATAGATTTCACCTATAATGTTTAAGACTTTATTTTTAGCCTTGCATATATCTTGAACTTGTCAATAATAAAATATATGTTGCAAAGCACTGAAATAATCAAAGGGCAATAAAATTAACATGTATTTTTACAGATGCAATATTATTTTTGATACTGCTCTGAGCTGTAGACTATTTTTTATTTGAACAAACCTTGTTTTCTCGAGCTTTTGACATATGGCACGCTGAATAAAAATACTGGGGATTCAGACACATCAAGTTCCTTCTAAGAACTTGCTTGTTCTATCACTGCATCCATGGCTTTCCACTTTTCAACCTACAATTTGAAGAAAAGGCCAATTAAAGTTTTTCAAAGCTATTTTCCTGGTTGATCCCAAGACTTCACAACACTGGATGGAATGAAGACCTTTGAAATAAGTGAGAACAATTTGCAGGAAATCAGGAAAAAAAACAGATAAAAGCATGATATTCAGTGGGTTGAGAAAAAAATAGTATTCTTCTTATTAAATTTGGCTGCATGCCATGCATGCATTCAACAAACATATTTTTTCTAACAGAAACAAATCAAGCCCAACTTCAGCGCTCAACCCAGATCCAGCTTCTGTTTCTGTGCTTGAAAATAATAAATTTCCACCTTTATTAAATTCCAGACTTAACTTTTTTAAATTAGCTTCATCAATTCCCCCCTATACACCTGAATATTAGCCCAAAGCCGATCAACAGGCTTTCTAAAATTTAATTTTAGATAACATTAGTACAAAAATGTAAAAAAAACTGTTTAAAAAAAATGAACATGTGCCTTTAAAATTAACCCGACTGCACTATCAATGCAGCCTCTTTCTCTCTCTCTCTTTTTTTTAATAAAAAAGGCTGGCTTTTAAAACTGGATCCCTTGTTCCGTAACACAAAATGAACTTTTTACTCTGATATCGTTCTGAATGTGACACCTAGTCATTGAAAATCCTTGGGTGCCATCCGTATGGGGCTGCTTGGAGAAAAAAATCCGGTGGGTGACAAGCTGTTGCCATGGTTTACAAAGAAAAGGGCGGTAGTCTGAACCTGCATCACAGTCGTTTTTTTCTGAGCTTTCCACAAAGTTCAGTGACTTCTGCATAAGCGACTGAGTAGTGGCAAACAAAACTAAGTGATGCTCCTTTACAAGCTTTTGGAGAACCCACACGCATCTTTTTAGATTTGCTTCTTGCAGATTCAGGTTATCTCCTCCGTTGGCCCGGTCTATCCAATAAAAAGCTGATATACTGTCTATAATCAAGAGGGAAAGGGAAGGGTGCAACGAAAACATGCTTTCCAGAGAGTAAAGACTGAGCAGCAGCTGAGAGCTGCTGTGGCAGTTAATAAGAAGAAACCTCTCCAGAAAATGCTTGATGGTGGCCTCGGTGCCTTGAGATGACAACCTGTATTCCAGGATGGTCAATAAACGCAGCATATCAAAATGGAAGTCCGTATCAATAAAGAGCACGCCAACTTCCAAACCACCTCTTGATTTTGGAAGAATGCAGCGAGCAATGAGATGATAGAGCATTTCTGTTTTTCCCGTTCCTTCTGCACCATGGAATTCAACAACGTCTCCTGGGGAGCAATGAAGAGAAGTGTGGTCACATACAATGAATCTGTCCTTTTCCAATTTTTTTTTTTGTTTGAAGTCTCACACTTCACATGTAATTCAAACTAAAAACATATGGAATCTTCTGATTATTGACAGCTCCAATCCAACATAATTAGTTTGCATTTCCTGATTTTACAGGAATTAATCAGGAGTAAGTAGCACTATATACAAGGAGATAACTCCAGGGCAAAAATGGAGGAGCAAACATTTGTACATTTATATTTTCTAGAGCTTCCCAAATCGTTATCCAATCTCCAGTGTTCTTATTAAAAACAGACAAAATTGAACATTTTAAAACTTACTGGAAACTGTCAGCTGACATAGGAGAATACAATAGAACAGATTAATGGTCACTCTGTAAGCATAGAGAGTTCCTTTAAAATTTCAAAATGTGTTAATTTTTAGAGTTAGAGATTGTGTTTTTGGAAGAGAAGAGATTTGTACTACAGGTAGTCCTCGACTTACAACAATTCATTTAGTGACTGTTCGAAGTTACAATGGAATTGAAAAGAGACTTATGACAATTTCTCACACTTATGACCACTGTAGCATCCCCATGGTCACAAAATTCAGACACTTGCAACTGACTCACATTTATGACCTTTGCAGGGTCCCAAGGTCAAGCAATGACTTTTTTGCAACCCTCTGTCAAGCAAAGTCAACGGAGAAGCCAAATTCACTTAACAACCGCATTACTAACTTAACAACTGCAGCGATTTACTTAACAACTGTGGCAAGAGAGGTCGTAAAACTCACTTAACCGTCTCACTTAGCAACAGAAATTTTGGGCTCAATTGTGGTGGTAAGTTGACAACTACCTGTATCTCAAATAATATACACTGGCTGAATATGCAAAGTAGCATATTTGCCAGGAAAAGTATATAATATTTTTTTTCAAACCATAAATGGGATATCCTTCCTCAGCAAACAGGCATGGTTCAAGAGTTTTCAGAGAACTTCGACCCTCAAGACGGGCAATCAGCTTTGAAAAAAAAAAAAGGCAAGTCGTTAGATACCATAAATATCTCAATGCACTAAATTTGCAGACTTTTGTACAAAGATAATATGAATTCAGTAATTTCACAGTAACTTAAGTATCTACATTGTATATGTATATAATTAATTTTAAAATTCCAGACATGCTTCAACGACCTGTTCGCAGAAAATTATGTTTGACTTACAACGGAAATGGAGGTGCCCATTATAGTTGTAGTGAGATGGTGATGTCATGGTTCCGACAGATGAAACTCTTCAAAAGAACTTCGAGGCATTGTTTACCTTAAAGAATCTTTTATTCAAGAAACAAAGTATCGGCACTGCATAGTTGAAACCAAAAATTATATTCCCTTCCCCTGGATACAAAGTAACAAAGCACAATTACCTCCTCCAATAAACAGTCATAAATCACGTTTCCCAATTAGCTTGAAGCATGGGCTTTCTCCCCAGCTCTCCAGCCCACCAAAACTCATCAACTCTGGGCCCAATGACCTTGGGTTCCCACGGTTGAGTTATTATTGTTATGACTAGCTGGACTCTCATCCACATTCCCCCTCCCAGCATCAACTAACTCTAAAAGCAATAGAGAAAAATGGCTGCATTTCCATCTGTTGTCAAAGCAAGAACATCCAATGGTAGCAGCATTGATAGCTGACCCATGTGACTGATTTTATGCATTTTTTTTTTGCGGTGATTGTTAAGCAAATCCATTTTTCAGTATGGGCATTTTTGCCAAAAACTATAAAGTAAATGCAAAACTTCGTAAATTATGGCCAACTGACCAAGGGATGCTGCAAATGACATAAATGCAGGCTGGATGCCAAGTGCCAAGTGCAGCCACATGATTGTGAAGAGTATTTGGCAGCGGCCATCAGAACTTCAGAGTTAGGTTGTAAATATCTTTTGGGGCGGTCTGTTGCAACTTCAAATGACAGCCAAATGAACAGTTGTAAGTTGAGGACTACCTGTAATCAGTGTTTCCTAACAAGTTACATACAGTTTACCTTATTTCTTCATTTTACTAAAATTGCCCAAAGCAAGTTCAAGACTTATTACTGCAATCTAAAGACAATTTAATGGCTTTAAAACTAGCATCATTATATTGCATTGAGGAGATCAAGTATACAGAAAGTGCCAGAATAACAGCGATCTTAAGGCAGACACAAAATTTAGCCAGAATCACAGGTTCTTTCTCGGAAGACCTTTCATAATTTCCTATTTTGAAGTGTTAATGGTAAAACTAGGTTTTCTAGGAAGTACTGGGCCATAAAAAAAGGCCACCAGCATTTCTCCTTTAATCCAGCTTCCTGGTAATATAAAACTCCAGTATTTTCCTAATCTTGGAAGACAAAACAGCTTCTAAATAGGAGAATGTTTTCAATTGTACATTAGGACCCGATTATTCAGGCAAAAAGACTTAAATGAACTCGAATACCATCAGTTGGGAATGAATGGGCTTCCAGACTCTCCCATAATTTGGTCCAGGATACAGAATCAAAAGTTGCCTTAAGAGCTGTAATGGTAGCATGCAGTAATACATTCTTGGTTGAATATTTTTCAACTAAGTGCTGTAGGACCAGACATTGATCAGTGGTGCCTTTACCTTCTCTAAAACTGGCCTGCTCTTCTGCCATCAAATTTCCCTGATGCAACCAGTTCTTAAGTTTGTCTTGGGGGTGCTTAGCTTAAAGTTTATGGATTATGTTAAGCACTTGACCCGAACAGGTAGTCCTCGGCTTACAACCAAAGCTGACCCCAAAATTTCTGTTGCTAAGTGAGACAGTTATTAAATGAATTTTATCCCATTTTATGATCTCTCTTGCCAAAGATCTTAAATGGATCGCTGCAGTTGTTAAATTAGTAACATGGTTGTTCAGTGAATCTGACTTCCCCATTGACTTAGCTTGTCAGGTCACAAAAGGGGATCACATGACCCCGGGACACTGCAACCATCATAAATATGAGGTTACCCGGTGTCTGAATTTTGATCATGTGATTGTGGGGACACTGCATCAGTTCTAAGTGTGAAAAATGGTCATAAGTCATTTTAGTGTCGTTGCAACTTCAGTCACTAAATGAACTGTTGTAAACCAAGGATTATCTGTAGATAGCAGGGCTGTCGCTCTATTCCCTCTTAAATCTGGAAGTATAATTGTCAGCTCCCAGTCCCTGATGAACAGCGATGCCAGGATTGAAGTCCACTACACTATACTATTCTCCAGAAATCCTGGAGCAAGAGAGCTTCAGCTGCCGATGTATGTGTTCTTTTCTCCTTAATCTTGAGGCTGATTGCAACATGCAGTTTCCCATTAATTTTCAAGGGAAATCCCATTATCTCCCCATCAAGTGAACTAATTCCACAAACTATAAAGGTACACATGGCTGCTAATTTCCCTTGGACCAGAAAAGAGCATAATCTGCAGAATAAACAAAACTTCTAAAATAGTGGAACCACCACCTTCAGCTGCACTTGTAAATTACAAATTGTTTCAAGGGCAGAGACATGTCCCAAGTGGCTTTTCTTTTCCTAGACATGCAGGCGTTTGAAAAATACAGTGGTACTTTGGTACTCATCGTTAATTGATTCCGGGAGGTTGCGATGGGTACCAAAAATGATGAGTATCAAACAAGTTTTTCTCATAATGAGTCACAAGGCAGCCAACACTGACAAGGTTTAGCTTGTGCTGCGTACGAAACAAACAATGAGTACTGGGACAAAGTTTTCACATCAAAATGCACTGAATATCAAATTTGATGAGTTTCAAAGCAGTTGAGTACCAAGGTACTACTGAAACGTCCTTCCAATTTATCTGAATTTCAGTGTAACTTGTTCACTTTCATCAGAGCCAAACAAATTCAAAAGAAAAACATTTTTGATTTTTCAAACTGCTACTAATCCTTTCAGGGTCTTCAGATACATATTAAGGTGAAAAATGTAGACAAAATTGAATTTGAATAGCAGAATTCATGGCCTATTCCAGTGGTGGCGAACCTATGGCACGGGTGCCAGAAGTGGCACTCAAAGCCCTCTCTGTGGGCACGTGCGCCGTCACCCCAGTCCTAGGCCTTCAGCTGGGCTTTATAAAATCTTTTCGCTTTAGGCCTCCGCCGCCATGTGCAAAAAAAAAAAGATTCAATCAATCAGTCAATTTCAACTTCTCGCGGGGAAAAAAAAGATTTTGCAAAGTTGGAATTGATTGAACTTTTTAGTCCCACCCAGTCTGCCGTTACCACCGCAGCCACGCCCACCCAATGGGCCACACCCACCCGGCACCCGACAATACATAAGTGGGTTTTGGGTTGCAGTTTGGGCACTCGGTCTCTAAAAGGTTCGCCATCACTGGCTATTCTCTTTGTTTTCTGGACATATCTTGTTTTTTGTTTGCAACTTTCTTTCTGAGGATAAAGTCTTGGAGAACTCAAATACTTGAAAACTTGTTGGGTATTTTATGGTGATGCTAATCAAATTAACTGTCTAAATATGGGAAATTAACTGTCTAACTACAAATCAGTATTTCAAGATGAAATTGCACCATCTTCCGTTAGCCATCAGACACAAATTATTGCGACCCCAAGCTCAAATGGTAGCTTGTTGTGAATGATAACCAGTCCTCCAACTCTTTCTGGAAGCCGCAGATCTGCAAGATACACAACAGTTCCAAATGAAGGCAATATTTAGGCACTTGGCAACAAGCACAGTCATATATGCAACTGAAGGTCAAATGATTTTTAAGTGTCCATTTTTCTAACACCCTGGCTTTGCAGACAGAATGGCCCATTTATTTTGGACTGCAAGCTTCATGGCATTTAACAAGAAATTCCTGGAAAACACACTCAGGGAGCTAATGCAATATGGATTTTTATGTTAGGTGGACAAATCTCTCAATTTAATGGGATGCTTTGTTTTAATATTTCAAATCTCCTGAGATTCAAAAAGATAGAAATAGACATGTTCCCATCACATGGCAAGTTGTTACACATCTGTGTAATATTTTTGACCCATAATCTTGTCGCCGAGTTTATTTTTGCTGAAGTTTAATTTATTTTAGTAATGACTTTTTAAAAAGCAAATATCAAATAATTAAGTTTCAGCTCTTGCCTTTCTCGTCTCTATGGAAGGATCAGTGATGAAAACCCTTTGTACTTTAGAGCAACGGTGTAATTATTTTTTATTGCAGCTTTCCACTTTCAATTTCCACAGAAAGAATTTTGACAAACGAAAATAGGATAGACAAAATTTAGCTAACAAATAAATCAGTTTTCTCAACCTTTGTCTCCAAAAAGGTTGGACAGGCCGTAGAATGGAAAGAATGCACATTCTGGAGAGAGATACGTTTCTGAGGATGGGCTCCAGCGTGAATCCAAAAGCTTGGAGGACGTCCCGGTGACCGACTCAGACTGGATCCAGCAACATTATCCTGGGACACTTATATTTTGCTTTCATTCGAAATGCATACTCTGTCCATGTAAGACCCAAATTTACAATATTACATTATATCTCCAATTAAAAGATTAAAAGATCAGGTGGCTAGTTACAAATAAGATTCAGAGGCTCTAAAATACCAGCATTTTTTAAAAAAATGCTCTTGAATTGAGCTTAGCTTTTGTGTACTCCATATCCATGGAATACTTTTGGTAATGTAGACATGGTTTATCATTACCTTTTTTTCCAGGATCTTTTTAAATTTCCCAATCTAGAATACAGCTCTGAGGTTTCCTGGTGGTATTCTATAAAGCACTAACCAAGGTAGATTTTGCTGATCTTCCCAATTCCAGACAAAGTTAACAAGCAGCTGCAATCAAATGACTGACAGTTTGCCTTGGTAAATTTATTTTTTTTTAAAATTGCTTAGTTTCTGCTTTTCTAACTACTTTGCAAATCATTCTTGCTATTTATTGTGGATTAAATTGTAGAGCTCCCCTATTATGGGCAATTGCCCTACAAGGGCTTGGATATTTTTGACAGAGAAAAAACAGCAAGTCCTTAAGTGCCGATGCAAATTATTATAATAATTTAAACACTAATGCACCTGTGTTTTGCATTCGTGTTTACGCTCTGGTTTTTAAGGGAAAGTTAAGTGCAGTGATTTAGCATCATGCTGTGTGCACTAACATCCTGGAAGAGCCAGCTAACAGAAAGAAATAAAAAGACAGAAGCCATACCAAAGCCAACCACTGTCACCACAGTTTCAAGCAATATTAAATATTAATCTTCATAAAAGGTTGTACT